GATATCATGCGAATGTTACTTCCGTCCCTAAGTTTTGCACACCAGTGTAGAACACTGACTGACTTCAGGGTTTCCATTTCCATCAAAGTTTCCATCAGGCTGTAGTCTCCAGAGCGAAACAGGTTTGACTATTCTGATATAGCATGGTGGACGACGACAAGGAGGTGTCGCAGAGCAAATGTTGCTGGACTGATTTGCGGGGCTCAGCAGAAGTTCATAAATCAAAGTGGAAAAACATGGCTCACTTCTTTTGCGATTTTGAAATGAAGAAAGCAGCTGGGGCGGGCATGAGTCATGTACAGTTACTCAACGAAGTGGGCTCTTCGTAGCCCACTTGGTCATATTCAGAAATCGCGAAATGGGGTTCTGGCGTGAGGTGCAAAAAAGTGGCACGAACTTATGGGACAACCTAATACAAGCAAGCTATTCAGAGTTTTTCCGGCCACATTGTTTTCTCAGGTGTTTCTCGGAAGACGTTTTCCAAGCCATACCAGATGCCACTCATGGCGGGCCCTGCAACTGCGTGGGGCTAACGCTAGGGAAAAGAAGACCGGATGCTACTAATGACCGTACTAGGAAGGCCCGTCGGGTCGCTATGGCCATTCTAGGTGAAATGTATGTTAACCCAAGCGTCTTGGAACATTCATGTCAAATCCTGGCTTCCCAATCTGCCAAATATTTAGGAGAGCAAAGTTACGGATGCTTTCACCGAGGAGCTCAAGTTCTTGAAGTAATTGACAATCAAGCTGTCGCAACTAGATGGCGCAGCCGGTAAGCGATCGAACTCGCAAGAGGAGCAGCAAGGCTCGATTCTTAAATGTATGCGCTGGTTTTCTTTCGCCTTATAACGTTTTAAACGTTTATAAACTGTTTCGCTATCCATTTTGACTATTTGCACCCTTCACTTGCCTACCTAGTTTCCAAAAAGCTTCCTTTGTTGTGCACTACTCTACGAAAGGCCACACGTATCTTCCACTGACGCCAAAATTCAGGATGAAGGAATTCAAAATCTCCAGCGGATCTCAAGATGGCAACGTCTTTAGCAAATTGTTAAAATTTTGAAGCTTTCGGTTATCATCCAGTGTTAGTCAGCCCGCCGAAATGCTTTGCTTTATCACCGAGATGTTCTGTCCAAAAGCTCGTCATCTTGAATTCGATCTAAATAATTAAGCCATTGTGATATTACACGGACGCCATATAGGAAAGAGAAAAATGGAACGGATCTTCACCTCCTTTCGCGTGATGCCAAGCATGACAATCGCTTGCGATGCTCAGACTGCGAAAAACTTTTCTGCCTCACACATATTGTACGGGATTATCACATCTGCTCAGCAAGTATTTCCTAACCGTCACAGTAGTATGAGCATCAAATACGTCTCCAGATTAATAGTGAGAGGGAAATCATAGTCGTTATAACTAAGTGACAGTAGAACTTCCTTCCAAAAGCTAACTCAAAAAGTGATGTGAAGGACAAAAATACTTGAAAAGGCACTTGTTTTGCAAACGTCTAAAATGAATTTCAAGGCGGAAAGCAAAGCAACACATGCATTAATGGATCGATCTTGGTGCTGCTCCTGCTAGCTCAATCGCTTACCGACTGCGCCATTGAGGCACTCCATATTTTTTGTCGAGAGGCTTCAAGGACTGGACTCATTGGTAAAACCATTCCGCAACCTCACGTTCTTCGAATAGTTCTGCCGTTTAAGGAGCAAGATTTAAGACCAGTGTTTAAAGGCATATACACTAACACACATCTCATCGCAATTGGCCGGAGCAGCCCGAGGGGCTTTCCTTGTTAACACAGCGTGTCGTTCAGAGGAAATCACCCTTTTTGAACTTGAAAACCGCTTTTTAGTAGTTGATTTGCCTGCAGCAATCTCATCCTATACAGCGCATAGTTCCTGAAACGCTTTCATAATTTTTTGGATTTCTTGTAGAAAACGAAGGAATAGCATTTGACCTGAGATAACTTATTTTTTTGCAAGCTGATATAATTTTCTCTATATTCGTTTTTCCGAGCTTTTTCTTAGAGAAAACTTAATTATAACTTTCGATGTGATACTGTGTTTATCTGAGTGTTCCGTACGACGTGATACTGGAAACATAAACAGAAACGCATGAATTTACTTGGTGGCATACCAGCAGAGGAGAAATCGAAGGTATGTCTTAAACATATCGATTAATTTAATAAGCTAAGCTCACCAAAAATTCACCGTCTCATCTAGCAGTATTCGCCAGCGGGGGATTTGAGAATTCGGTGACCTGATTGAAGTTGTTTCGATCAAATGCGTGCAAGAACAAAAAGGCTCTACTTGTATTGAGGGCATTTGATTTACGATGCAGAACTTCGAATTGAAGCAGTAAAATTGAATCGCTAAAAACTGCTGCAAAGAGTACAGTCTAGTTTCATCTTTCCGAGGGATTCCACAAAAGTGGAACTTCTACGGCCAGCACTATCATAGCATTAAGTAGGAGACACTATAAACCAAAATAATGTGAAAACAAGTCTTGACGACATCGTCTCCAGGCGTCTTCAATTTTACATCTGGGGAACACTTTAAAATAACACTAAACCTAATATAATGCAATTAACAATTACGATTTCTCACATGATTTGTGGCGTGTCTGAAAGCATTCGATACAGAAGTAGCCCTCACAATTACTACATTGAGTTCTCACTTTCTTAGTATGGGATCTAGCGTAGTAACGTCCATGTTCGTCGGAAAGCTTGCTGTAAGCAGCCTCGACATCGTCTCCTGGCGTCCGAAGGGAGATCTTCCTTTTCAATCAGCTTACGTTTCCTGCCTTGACATGGAGTGTATCTCGAACTTATGTTCATCAGTTCTTCGGCGATTGAAATCTTGAAGTCAGTGAGCTGTATCTTCGTTTTCTTGGCAATAGAGCGTCCAAGCGTTCACCATAGCCGTCTGCGT